AGGTGGTCATAATGAAGTGGCTGGTTGGTATATAGATAGAGAGGAAATAAGTTAAATCATCCTGTACAGAGAACACTTAAATATGCTGTTTTTTCTGAAAAAGTTAATTTGTCAATTTGTTTTTTTTTACTTAATGGAAAAAAATACAATATAAACAATTTAACATATTGGAGAAAAGTTAAATATAAAATGTGCCGTAACTTTTGCACAGGGTAGTTTATGTTCACAGTATGTTAAATTCAGCATATAAACAGTCATCATGCATTACTGTTATATATACACTATCACTTTCATCACTGTTGATTATATAATAGTTATTGACTTTGATTGGTCATAGTACCATATATATATATATATATATGTACATATTTGTACATATTTTGTATATCGCTGCTGTCAGAACAAAACCTATCTCCATGCCTGTTGCCCTTTACATTGTGTGTACATTTCATGATCATTGGACCAAAATAAATGGCCCAAAATTACTTGGACAAAAAATCTGGTTCCATTAACTTACATTAAAAGTACAGTTTTTTTTTTCCATCTCCTGGAAATTAACTATTTTGGAGATGTGAGGTTTTATTTCAACAGCAGCGATGTGTGTGTGTGTATATACATTAGTTTACATTATGAAAAAATACAGGAAAGGCATCACATCTAACACTGAGACAAAATGGTCTCTCTCTCTCTCTCTCTCTCTCTCTCTCTCTCTCTCTCTCTCTCTCTCTCTCTCTCTCTGTGTGATGTAATCATTCCCAGAGACAGCATCAGGTGTGACTGTGTTCGCGTGCTCTCTCTGCGTGCTGATTTGTTTTTCCGACCGTTTCTGTTCGGCCGCTGAACTTTCAGCTCGCTCAGTCAATGACAGGGTCCTACATTATCTGTGCTAATATAACACTATATCTCACACTTTTACAGTGAAGGTTCAGTATCAGTCTGGATCTGTGCCACTCAGGCCTCTCTAGCACCGTCTCATCCTTCAGATGGAGTGTATGAGGCTGTGTTTGTGCTGTTGTGTGTGTTAATGCGAGGCTGTTGTTTCAGCACCGCGGACAGCGCCATGCAAATTCATTATGGCTGCAGTACCGCCTCTGACCTGATAGATGGCGCTGCGGACATGATGATGATGATTATTATTATTATTATGTAGTGGCATGCACTTATACGATGCCACGACTTCGGCAAGTGATCTTTTCTTTCGCTCCTCGCTCCCCCCACCCTTTACCCAAAGCATGTACTAAAATACTGTAAATATATATAAACACTTATCTAATGCCATTTAAACACAAAGCAAACCCCAAAAAGTTTTTAAATCTATCAAAGCCCACCTGCTGCACACAGATCACACACCTGAATCACTCCTTGTAAATCAGTGAATCTCTCTGGTATAAAATGATATGAATAATAACAGAGGGTGTTTCATGCTGCTTGCAGCCTAGCTGCTGTAACTGCATATTTATTTGATGAATAAGGCTGCCTGTGTATGTCTGTCTGTCTAACTGTCCGTCCCTCTGCTTATCTCTCTTTGTCTACCTAGCTATTTGTCTATCTATCCATCCATCCGTCTCTCTGCTTATCTGTCTGTCTGTCTCTACATCTGTCTATCTATCTGCCTATCTATGTCGGTCTGTTTGCTTATCTATTTATCTGTGTCTATGTATTTATCTATCTGCCTATCTGTGTCTATCTTTTTGCTTATCTATCTGTGTCTATCTATCTATCTATCTATCTATCTGTCTGTCTATCTGCCTATGTATTTATGTATGCATCTGTCAGTCAGTCAGTCTATCTGTCTGTTGCAATGAATTTTAAAAGTCATTGGACTGAAGTCAATCCGATTGTGCTTTGGTTGATCAGATACAGTACAAGGAGGTCTTTTGGGGCAGACAGACAAACAAACAAACAAACAAGTGAATAAGTCATCACTCCTATTAGACTGTCAGTCTGCCATCAAATCAATCCCATTTTTAAACAGAAAGGGCCGTCAGTCGCTTTCTTCACTGAAATAACGTCTCAAGCAGAAGTAAACACAGTCCTCTCTGTTCGTCTGTATTCGTCTCTTTCTAGATCTTTTCGGTGTAAAATAAAATCCTAAAACTCCAAAGTGAGAAGAGTGAGGCCCAGTAAAGCAGAACAGGAGCTGAACCAGCACAGCAGAATTAAACCCAATGAAAGGATCAGGTACTAAATGTTAATGGCTGAATTGTAACTGAGTGACTTTCCTCACTGACGTCCTTCAGTAGAAGTCAAAGTATGAGCGTTGGACAGTAGTTGCAGGTAAATAAAAATGCAGACTCAGCATGGTGGCTTTATTATAGTGATAAAAGATTCTGACTCCCACAAATCTTACTCTTTAACACTGTCACATCTTTATCATCTTCATCTTCTTCATCATCAGCAGGAGCAGGAGCAGCACACACCCATTAATCACACTGTCAAAGCCCCAGGTGGGATATTTTAGAAGTAAACTGCATGTGAATTGATTAGCATACTAATACTACATGTAGCAGCAAATAAGAGCCAGCGCTTATATAACCTTGGGAAGAAAACGACGAAATCCGTTCAATACGCATAAATCATAAACAGCTTAAGCCACCAATCTGCTGCAAATAACGTGGAAAAAGTGCTTACGGCAAGTCGAAAAAGCCCAGAAGAAGAAGTCCTGACCAAGGCTTTAGAAGTCCTTTTGAGTCATTTTCATTTTCAGTCATTTTTTCAGTTAAAAATACAACAGCACATAATATTTACATCATAAAATCTCGTCTCGAGAGTCTTTCTTTATCAAAGTAGAAATAAATTACTTAAAGTGGCCCTCTAAACTTTTCAGTGTGTGAGATGTAAACAGAGTGAGTCAGAGTGGTTTGGTGTGAAATGGTTCAGATGTACAGTGGTGGTGATAGGAACCAGGGGTCGCCATGACTACAACACAGATATAGATATTTTATTTACTATCCAGAACCATCAGTGAACCTACACGAGTCTTCTGAGTTTATATGGAATGTTGATGATGGAAAAGAGTGGAAAATTTTATATAATACGTTGTCTTTGGGGACTATTTTGCCTCACAACACCCTGCATGTATCCCTCCACCGTGAATGGATTTAAAAATATGCTTAGACCAGAACTATTGTAAAAATTGTCATCAGTCAGTGAATTCATAACCATTTCATGTACTAACTGTCTGTGAGGGAGCTTTTAGACATGGATGTCTGGTTCCTATCACCACCACTGAACAGTTCTGAGTCTTAAGTTTCTCCAGAACAGAGCGTTTCACACCAAACCATTCTGAATGACTCTGTTTACATCTCAACCACCAACAATTATGCAGAAATTCTGCAGAACCTTTGAAAAACAGGTGGAATTCCCCTTTGATGTATTTACATCTTTTCCCTGGTAATAAGTAATCTTAATTTTTTGTCATTAATAATAACACTCATATTGACACATTGATTGAGAAAGTGATGGAAAATAAAGAAAACATTTCAATATCACCAGTAGAACTGAAGGCAATAGTTACAGTGTTTGTGCACTACATGTGTAAGTATACGTTAAAGTCTGTGAAGTCTTTTGCATTGTACATCGCTTGTGCAAAAAACCTTATAACTCTCTGTAATGCCGCATAATGGAATTGTTTACTGTTCCACTATAACATTCATATCTGGACAGCAAGTCTTTCATTAATTACGCACTTTATAAACATTCTCATTTCTCAGTTTTCAGCTCTCAGGCTGTGTCCAAAACGATGCCCTATTCACTGTACAGTGCACTATTCTGAGCTGCATCCAAAACTGTGTCCTGTTCACTATACAGTGCAGTATTTTGGGCTGTGTACAAAACTATACTCTTCACTATAAAGTGCATAATTTTGAGCTGCATCCAAAACTGTCCTGTTCATTGTAGTGCACTATTTTAAGCTGCATTCAAAACTATGTCCTGTTCACTATATAGTGTAGTTTTTGGCTGCATCCAAAACTATACCCTGTTCACTATGAAGTTCACTATTTTGAGCTGTATCCAAAACTATACCCTGTTCACTATGAAGTGCATTGTTTTGAGCTGCATCCAAAACTGTCCTGTTCACTATTTAGTATACTATTTTAAGCTGCATCCTAAACTATGTCCTGTTCACTATATAGTGCCCTATTTTGGGCTGTGTACAAAACTGTATAATATTCACTATAAAGTGCACTATTTTGAGTTGCATCCAAAACGGCCCCGTTCACTATACAGTGTGCTATTTTGGGCTGCATCCAAAACTCTGCCCTATTCACTACATTACGCCGTACTGGGGCTGCGTCCGAAGCTATACTGTTGAATATATAGTGCACTCTTGGGAGTCAGACATTTGAATATGCAGCGTACCCTTAAAATCCCACAGTGCACCTCAGCAAGTACTGCAAGTGATGGATCCTAGTGGACACTTGTGTTATTTAGGTTGAAGTTGATGTTTTGTATGTTTATGGGCTGTGACTAGTGTTGCAGAGTGGTGACTAAACTAGAGCTTGACCTGAGTTTAAAGACAATTTGTATTCCCTATAATAGTGTTTATATAGTGCCCTTGATTTCCCATGTAAGGAATAGCAGTGAGGAATCACTTCTGTTCCCTATACATAGTGCACTTGATTTGCAATATAGGTAACAGCAGTTAGGGATCATTTTTGTTCCCTATAATAGTGTTCTGTACAGTGCCCTTGATTTTCAAATGTACAAACTGTGATTAAGGACCTTTCCTGTCCCCTATGATAGTGTTCTATATAGTGCCCTTGATTTCCCATGTAGAGAATAGCAATTAGGGATAATTGTTGTACCCTATAATAGTGCTCTATATAGTGCCCTTGATTTTCCAGTGTAGAAAAAAGTGATTAAGGAGCTTTTCTGTTCCCTATAATAGCGTTCTATACAGAACTCCGGATTTTATAATAATAATAACGAATAGGGGATGATTTGGAACACAGCCTTTGTCTCTCCTTCACAGCCATAGTGCGTTGCACTGCCTCTTTTTAACAGGGAGAGGCGCTCATGCGCATATGTGTGTGGTAGTGTGGGGGTGGCACCGCGGGGGGTGGCATGGCCAGGCCCTGGGGGTCAGCAGGGCGCAGCGGGTGGTTGTGGGTAAAGGTTGTCGTGGCGTTGGGTGATTGGAGCTGGTATGCGGTTGCGGAGGCGGGGCTGGAGACAGCGGTCAGGCTGGCGGGCGGCGGCCCCTGCTGGACGCCGGGTTTGGGCGGGGGCTGAGGGTTCTGTGCCAGCTGTATGGAGACGTCACTGGACAGCTCTGAGGCGCTGCGAGCACGTTGAGGCGGCGGCCAGCTGTCCGGGTGCAGAAACTGACCGCTGTAATCGCTGCTGTCGGACAGACGGGGGCGGTAGAGCGCAGGGTGAGGACGATACATCTCCTCCTCCGCATAGCGCTTCATAAACAGATACACCGACATCACACCAGCACCCTTAAGAGGGAGAGTGATAGAGAACGAGGGGGGGGGGACACAGAGAGAGAGAGATAAAGAGAGAGAGGGAGGGTAGAAAAAGACAGAAAGAGATGAAGGAGAGCGGGAGGGGAGAAAAAGAGAGATGAAAGAGAGTGGGAGGGGAGAAAAAGAAGGAGAGATGAGAGAGGGAGGAGAGAAAAAGACAGAGAGAGATGAAAGAGAGCAGGAGGGGAGGAAAAGAGATGAAAGAGCAATAGGGGAGAAAAAGAAAGGGAGAGAGATGAGAGAGAGTGGGAGGGGAGAAAAAAGGGAGAGAGAAGGGGAGAAAAGGACAGATAAAGGGAGAGAGGGAGGGGAGAAAAAGACAGAAATGAAAAAGCAGGAGGGGAGAAAAAGACAGAAATAGGAGGGGAGAAAGAGAGAAAGAGATGGGAGAGTGGGAGGGGAGAAAAAGATAGAGCAGCAGGGGAGAAAGAGAGAAAGATAAAGAAAGATGAAAGAGAGCGGGAGGGGAGAAAAAGAAGGAGAGGGAAAAGAAAGATAGAAAGATAAATAGAGAGACAGTGGAGCGAGCGGGAGGGGAGAAAAAAGGGAGAGAAGAGAAAGTGGGAGGCAAGAAAAAGAGACAAAAGGACGAGAGAAAATAACATGGAGAAAGAAAAGAGAAAAGAAAGATTTATGTATATTTATGTGTGTGTGTATATATACATATATATATATATATATATATAGAGAGAGAGAGAGAGAGAGAGAGAGAGAGAGAAAATGATACATTCACTGAAACACTATGGATAAATCATTGAACAGCAAACTAACAAAAGCAGTAAAACGTAAAACACACACTTTATATAAATAAACAAGAGACAAAGAGAAATGAACTTCACAGGACACTGACAATCCATTAAAGGGCCCATATCCTACAATTTCTTATGATATTTGTGTACCAAAACAGCCATAATTCATCACATGACCAACCCAGCCTCTCCTTATCCTTTATAAATAAACAGGCTGCTTTTGTTGCTGTGCCTTTAAGACTGATACAGTCTTACGCAGACGTCTGAACACTCCTGGTCAATTTAGTTTTGTGGACACATTCTCTATAGGAGACAAACTTACATATGACATTATTCTACATATTTTAGTGCCGTGTTTAAATGTATTTGCTGAGTTTAACATACTGATTGACACTTAGAAAATCAACAAAATGTTATCTGAACAGGGGTGCCAAAACTTCTGCATGTGACTGTATATGTAAATGACCTTTGTTCTGATTGGCTGCTCTATATATTACGCCTCATTCAAAAAGCAGGCTAGGTTGAAACACTCTATATAGCCTCAGTGAGAGTAGTTGGGCCTGCTATAGGCTAACTAGGCAGATATATGCAAATGTGTTGTTTTTGTGACATCACAGAATCAATTCATTTTAAATGGGCTGTTTTTTCAGCTTAGGTTCTATAGATAGACTGCATGGACCGGACAGTAAGGGGAACGTTTTGATACTTGATCTGTGTTATATGCGACATTACATTTGAAAAAGCGAGGAAAATTCCCTGATATGAGCCCTTTAAAGACAGTCTGGCACAAGCGGACTGTGCGTACTGTAGATATGTAAAGTATGAAGGAGAAACACTGCGCACTGTTCTCTCCGCTGCTCCCTCACTGAGTCAGTGCTGCAGCCGAGATTTACTGATTAAACCATTTCACTGATTTAATGTTTTAAAAGCTTTCTCTAGAGCTTCTTTTCAAATTGCTATTTAAATCACTTCTTTTTTCTCTCGCTCTCCAACGTGCACACACTCCCCCTATCTCTATAACTGACACACACACACACACGGCTCTCTAAGCAGCCATGAGCGTGTGGCAGTGCGGAGACCCTGCTGAGTCAAGCAGAAAAAAAGAGTTTCACGCAGAAACTCCAATTCAGCTAAATCCTCACACAAACTGCTGATTGACACACACAGCTCCGGCCTCAGAGTCTTCTTTACTCTCTTCTTTTTTATCCTGCTCTTCCCTTCTCCTTTCCTCTCTTCTCTTCTCCTCTGTTCTCTTTCCGTTCTTCTCTATTCTCATCTGATTATTTAGTATCTCCTCTGAATTATTCAGTAGCTATTATGAAACTAATGTGTACATTCTGTAGACATGAGCGGGAGGAAGTAAAGTGTGGATCAACTCGCAGGATTAAAAAGTAGAAGAAACTGTATTACAATGTACAGTATAAGATGCTATACATACTAAACACTACTACACTACACAGTACACCACAGTGCACATACTATACCATACCTACACTTCACAGTAGCCAGTACTACACATACTATACCTGTCTACCCTAAATGTGCACTATACTATACACACTTACACTGCACTACACAGTGCACTATACCTTACGACACTACACAGTGCACTATGCTACACATATTATACCTTATTACACTGCACAGTGCACTATACTACACATAATACACTAAACAGTGCACTGTACTACATATACTATACTACACTACACAGTGCACTATACTGCATATACTATACTACACTACACAGTGCACTATACTGCATATACTATACTACACTGCACAGTGCACTGTACTACACATACTATACTACACTACACAGTGCACTATACTGCATATACTACACTACACAGTGCACTATACGGCATATACTATACTACACTATACACTTCACTACACATACTATACTACACTATACAGTGCACTGTACTACACATACTATACTACACTGCACAGTGCACTATACTACACATACTATACTACACTATACAGTGCACTGTACTACACATACTATACTACACTACACAGTGCACTATACTGCATATACTATGCTATTGTATACAGTACACTACACTACACAGTGCACTAGACTACACATACTATACCTTACTACACTACAATACCATACTATACTTCACAGTGCACTATACCATACGACAGTGTGTAGATAGCTTTACTCAACATTTTTTAAATAAAGGGGTCATTTTGTGACCTCCACACTGACCTCTTTGAGGAGGAAGGAGCTGGCGGCGAAGGCGAAGGACCAGCCATAATGATAGTTGAAGAACTGCTCCGGCTCTCTCGGCCTGTTCATCACTTCATCATTTATACTGGAGATGTACAGCACCAGGCCCACCACCAGACTCAGACCTGAGAGAGAGAGAGAGAGAGAGAGAGAGAGAGAGAGATGGTAAAAGGTACATCTGAAATGAATTGAATGAATGAAATGCATAAAACAGTGGGATTCCTAAACAAAAATTCACCAAAACAGTACAGAGAATATAAAAATAAAACCTTATTTTACAGTGTGGTGATTCTTTATTATTTATACACTAATAATATTTCAAAATCTTGTTATATCAAAAATGTATATATTATTATTCATACTTTATACAATAAATAATAAAAAAACTAAATATTAAACAGTGGATTAATTAAAATGAAATAGTTTAATGTTTATAGAATTATGACTACAGTTTCTCCAGCTGCTGCCCACTGCATGCTGTTTTCCTATTGCAGTGCTACATTATGAAACAGGCTGTGACAGATATGAGTGGCGTTTTCGGAGATCGCCGCTGTGGTAAACTAAAATGCCCCAGCAGAGACGTCTAAGATGATTTTTTCAAAATTAGTGAGCAAAAGATAAAATGTGTTGTGTTGTCAGGTTGTCGCACGCTCCCCTGCTATAATTATCTACTTCTAGTAATTTATTCTCAGTTTATCTGCCTCAAGGTTTGATCACTACTTCTGACACAGAAGCCATTCTATTAATTAATCTTGATGTTCTTCAGCTTTCTGTCATTCTCGAGTCGTGTGCAGCTCTGTTGTGGACACATCTAACATTTTTTCAATTTTTACACAGTTTACAGTTTCCTATTAATGATCTTAAATCTGTGAAGCTGTACAAGGTGAGCAGATTGGAATTATTTTACTAATATGTCTGCACACAAACTAGGTCTGTGTTATTTACTGTTAGACAGAAATGAAGGTTCTTCAGAGATTTACAAAAGGTACAAATAATGTAAATGTTCCCTCAAAGGTACAACAGTGGTTTTAAGGTCTGATTGTGAATCTTAAATAAGTTTTTCCAGGTGAAAAGTTCGTATTTGTACCTTTTCATAACCGAATGTTTTAAAACAGAACAGTAAAATAAAAGCCTGGAGACGAGACGGGGTGTGTGGAGTCAGTACAGCTTAGAACATATCATTTCAGTGGATTATGGTTCAGTTATGTTCCCTGACTAAAGGTGCTGAGATGGACCCTTGAGGGTTCCACCCCAGTGACAGTTTCAGACCTTTTCTTCTGAGAGTGCTAAGACCACTGATTCCAAACTTTTGAGCAGTGATGTATTCCTTAACTCCTGTTCAGAATGACTTTTCACATCCCAGACAGAAAACAGTGTGAAGACGAATGAAAGGAAAGAAGTAAAAATGTTTTTTCGCCCAAGGACAGTGTGTCAGTGTAGGCTGTACAGCAGAGGGAACAGATTGTGGACAGATTAAAGAAGGCCTTTCCTGACCAGCTTCAAGGTTAAAGAAGCAGAGATGTAAACAACACTGCGGTCTGCATACAAATAGACTTTAGAGACCGAAGACGTCTGCAGCTACTGTATACAGCAGTTATATGAACGTACATGTTATGCCTAATAATTCTGCACAGCAGGACAGCAATAATATTGAATGTGGATATTGATCCATTATGCTGCTGGAGTGTTGTGTAGTGGGGGGATGGTGGCAAACCAGCCTTTGAGTGCAGAAGTGTTGGTTGTTAGCAGGGCTCCAAACTGCTCTGCAACAGTTATTTACCCAGTATGTTAAAATTAGGCAGATAAACAGTAATTGTGTGTTAAAATGTGCAGAAGTGTGTTCTCTGTAGAGGATGTGTTCACTTATTTTCACTTCAACTCAACAACACATGGCATTTGACCAGGGAAACTTCTGTGCTCAACAGTATAACCAGTCTGGGAGCAGCACAGCAGCTGGAGAGGAAGGTATTATCGAAAGAACTCAGATCTGGCATGGAACAAAAATTAAGAGTTAATTTCTTTAGGTAATGTTTACATTGTAAATAGCGACTCTTGAGAATCAATTCACTACATAAATGTGCTTGGCATTGTGAAGGATCGTAGGATTGAAGATCCAAGTTTAGTTCCTGGTGTTTCCTGAATGGTCCCTTCACATTGATCACATGGAATTCCTTCACCAACACACTTCATTTAACATGAAGTATTAATAAGCTAAACCCGGTATTTGTTGATAACTAAACTAAAAAAGAATCCTGGGCTTCCCCAAGAAGAAGTTTGGAAATCAAAATTGGAGTTAAACACAGTGACATACGCAAAGCCACTACTTGTATAAATGCTATTTGTGCTTATTCTAATATTACTGTTTTTCTGGGCACAAAAACAGCCCATCTAAAAATCGAATTACAGGTGTCAGGTGTCTAAAACTTTTGTATAGTACTACATACATATTGTATATATATATATATATATATATATATATATATATATATACATACAATATATATGTTCCAACGTTTTAGACACCTGACTTAGAAATCAGACAGCCTAATATTTATACATAGGGAAAGTATGTACATTTTATATATATATATATATATACATATATATATATATATATATATATATATATATACACACTTAATATATCGCTGTTGTCAGAAGAAAACCTCGTATCTCCATTTTTGACGTTTTCAGTTTTTGACATAATTTGAAAATACCTGCCTTTACATTGTATGTAAATTTCATGAATGGAAAAACGTCTGGTTCCATTGACTTGCATTAAAAGTAAAGTAGGTTTTTTCCTTCTCCCGTAAAGTTACCATTTTGGAGATAGGAGGTTTTCTTCCGACAACAGCAATATATTTGTCAATCAATCAATCAATCAATAAATAACATAAAATATACTGAGTGTTATCAAAACCTTTAATTTCCTATTTCAGTTATTAAAACTGCTGGTCTGGTTGCACTATTCGATCTGGTTGAGCCACCTGACTTTTCAAACTAATTTCACATTAAACAGGCATTTACTTAGACACCCATAGAAACCTTTGTCCTTGAAGTTGAGTTTATAGTTACATTTTTCAAATAAATAAACATCATTATAATAATTACACATCGCTCTGACAAGGCTAACTGAACCGTTCTAACCACGACCCAAAAAGGATTTTTTTTGCAAAATTTGTGAAAGGGCTACTGACCCTGGCATTGCAACATGAAGGTCACCTGGGCTTTTCTTTATGATGCAATACCCTGACCTCTTTCGTGAAAGCATGTCAAAATAAAAGTCCTTTGTTTTGGTTGTGCTGCCTGACATTTGAGAAGGTAAGACCTTGTGGACAAGTTTTACAGAAACAAGAGTTACAGAGAACAGAGGAGTCGTTAGCAAACTAGAGTAATTCCAGTTGAGCCCAAAAGCACCAGTGCTAGACAGAAATAGACAAAACAGATGGGGAATCTTCATTATTAGATGGGGATTTGAGATTGAATAAGACAATGATAATCAAATGCAGATGGTACATTTGAACTCCAGTTAGTGCTGAAAACAGCATAACACAGACTTGTAGTCTTGTAAACAAGGAATTGTAAACAAGCATCGTGTATCTTTGTTATCTGAAAATGATTTTAAGTCCGTTTTCTACTGATAAACATATGTAGGGATCATGGCTCATTTACCAAACGTACTGTGAAATCTCAGGCGGTATCTCTGCACGCACAATTAAAATCAATTGTACAGCAGGGCTTATAATGTTATTATTATCGTGCTAAAATTGTGCTGAAACAGTTGTTATTGTGTGATATTAATCATTACCCAAAGGTCTCCTTGAGGAAGTCCAGTGTTTTAAGCTCCCATCCAATACCTGGTTTATCCAATGAGTCCTTCATTAAATTAAATCAGGTGCTGCTGATAGAAGTGAACTAATCCTTGCGATGGTTGGAGAGCAGAGAGAAGTCAGGAACCAAACCTGTGCTGTTCTAACTGCATTCTGTTGCTGTTTGAATTATTAACCATTTATTTTGTGACGCACGACTATTTAAAGCACAGTAATTTGTACTTTTCATACATGTAATGTATTCAAGTGTAGTAGGTAAAACAAAGTGTCTTTATAAATACAGAACAAAGTCGAAACTTTGTAATCGGGTACAGTTAATTGCTGTTAATGTTTAAAAAATATACATTAACTGCTAGACATGTGGGAAACGTATGCTTCACAAAGTGGCAAGATAAACAACAACTACTAATAATTACAGTTAAAACATGACAGACTATAATAAATGATTAGGTTTCTGCAATTCAAAATGATTGTTTGCATGCCACTTTGTAAAGGTAATGTAATAAATGATACTATTTATTAATGCATACACCGATCAGGCATAACATTATGACCACCTCCTTGTTTCTACACTCATTGTCCATTTTATCAGCTCCACTTACTATATAGGTGCACTTTGTAGTTCTACAGTTACAGACTGTAGTCCATCTGTTTCTCTGATACTTTGTTAGCCCCCTTTTACCCTGTTCTTCAGTGGTCAGGACCCCCATGGACCCTCACAGAGCAGGTACTGTTTGGGTGGTGGATCATTCTCAGCACTGCAGTAACACTGACGTGGTGGTGGGTGTGTTAGTGTGTGTTGTGCTGGTACGAGTGGATCAGACACAGAGTTTTTCATGACTGTTGGCTGGATATTTTTGGTTGGTGGACTATTCTCAGTCCAGCAGCGACACTGAGGTGTTTAAAAACTCCAGCAGCACTGCTGTGTCTGATCCACTCAGACCAGCGCAACACAGACTAACACACCACTACCACGTCAGTGTTACTGCAGTGCTGAGAATGATCCACCACCCAAATAGTACCTGCTCTGTGAGGGTCCATGGGGGTCCTGACCACCTGATCGGTGTATGTAGCAATTATATAGTGATTAATAGTCAACATAATGTATTAGATAATTATTAGGTTGCTGTTTATTATCTGGTTATTATGTTATATAAATGTTATGTTATTATATTATATAAATGCCACCAAAAATCATGTTCTGTTTTACTTTTTTAATGTTTATTTGTTTTCCTGTCAAAAACACACTTACCACCCAGATCAATAAAATTTTTACATTGTTTTCTTGACTTTTGCACAGAACTGCGTATTTTTATTTTGTCTGCTATTATTTAGTGTTGATGTCTTTACAGAGGGTTTTTTGTTATTGTTTGCACTCTTTACAGAAAAAACAATAAACAGAGTTTGTAAATAAAGGATGGCTGATTAAATTTGACAGAAGGATGTAGCGGGGGTTGGTACCTGAAAGGATGAAGAAGATTCCGGAGACGAAGGCCAGGATGGTGCGCTGGGGGCGGATGTGTCCCACGTTACTGATGATGAAGGCGGTGAATACAAAGAGTAAAGACACCATGGGGAACGGCGTGGCTGTTCGCACCATTTCTGAAAAAAAACAAAACAAAACAACACAGATCAGATGTGTGTAAGGGTTTGAGCAGGTAAACTGGGGACCAAAAGTCTGAGAGCACCCTAAAAATCAGTAGTTCTGAGAAGGTTTTGAGATGTATGTCTCAAGTTTGCTTAACCCTTGTGTGGTGTTGATGTGTTTGTTACTCAGTGGTCTGCTGGACCCACCACATTATTGGTTTATTAAATCAATACAGCCATAACAATTTATGTAAAAATACCAGATGTTTAAAATATCACAAGTGTCCAGCGTAGGGTTCTCCTTTAGCAGCTGTAGCCAGTCAGCAGCCTGTCCATGTTGTCCACCCTCACACACACACACACTTATACAAACACATACACACACATACACACTAACAGCAGGCCATGTAGGAGGAGAACAGAGTGAAGGACACAGCACCTCCACACTTTTACTCCCCGCAGGTTCACCCAACACCACATGTGTAATATAAATGTGTGGGGGGTGAACAGAGTGAAGACACTGAAAACGGGTTATTTTATATGTTCTTCACAGAAAATGAGCAAAGGACAAGAATCTGAGGTTAAAATAATAATATATTGCATCAGTTTTTCTTTTGGTAAACACTGAAAATGGGTCCCACAGACCTGAACACCACACAAGGGTTAAATGTGAATAGTGAGCTTATTCTCATAACTTTGTTTTTAAATTTATGAAAAAAAGAAAGAAGAAAAATTCAGTTCTGCACTATTTCTAGCTTACTATTCACATTCCAGCAAACATGTGACATACAGCCCAAAACCTTCTCAAAACTATTGCAAACAGTGTCTCAGTCATCAGGCAGTGAATTCATAACCATTTCATGTAGTAACTTTCTGTGAGGGAGTTTTTAGAGGTGGACGTCTGGTTCCTGTCACCACCACTGTGAACAATTCTGACTCAGTAACTTCTCTAGAATGGAGCGTTCACAGCAAACCACTCTGAATGACTCTGTTTAAATCTTAACCACTTAATTATGTGGAAATTTAGGAAATATGGTGTCATTCCCCTTTAAGGCCTTTGTACAAAGGGGTCAAATTTGTTCTTGAGTGTTATTTCTTCCACTAAAGCTCGTGTTCAGACAACTCATGGGTGGTTTTGATCAGAGGCACCTGCACAAAGGAGTCCACGCTGTCAGTATAGCAAAAAGGGGACACCACACCGAAATACTTAGAATTTCTGAAATTTGCATTAATATTTGAAAGATTCTGCCCTTCGCTCAAACTGTTATGCTGGTAATATAATCTGCGTAACAAACTTTGTAAGAAAATGCAAAATAGGATAGTCTCAGACTTTTGGACCTCATCATATGCACAATTGGCTCACGTTCACCTGACCAAGGTTTACTCACTGAGAATATTTGCGGTGTTTTCTGTTGTGATCTCTATCTCTGGTTCTGTGAAATACTCTGAGGCCACACATCGTCCTTTCTCCGAACCTGAGAGAGAGCGAGAGAGGGGGTTATCAGAAGTCGAGTAAAAAGGACTATGTGAAACCTGGAAGGAAGGAAATCACATGTCCACACAACGCTAGCTTTGAATACACCAGCTTTAATCAGAGGTGAGTATTTTCAAAAGCTGATACTTTTACTCAAGTACATTAGTGAAAAAGTTACTAAGTCCTGTTTTAGTCATTAACACTCCATCCTAATTCTGTTTTGGGGTTTAATTTCATTCTGCTGTGTTGGTTTATCACAGGGACTGCTTTGTGATTGGCCACACCTCTCGCTTCGGAGTTGAGCATTTTATTTAGACACAGAGTCTGACAAACTTATATTACTGTGCTGATAGACGCTGGATGCTCTGAGATGTTCCACTATAAGTTACTCAGTACGTAAGCAGTTTTCTGAGCTGGTTGCTTTTTGGAATGGTACTTTTCCTCAGCGATGTGGGTGGGAGTTTTAAGTTGGGGTGCTGAAATTTTAAGCAGTTTATGTGTGACATGAATGGTGAAGTCATGCAAAATGATTTGCCCCTTTTTAAACTTGACCTTTTTTTTTTGATAATTTATATCAAACAGAGCGTGCCATGATGTGGCAAGACACGACAATATACCCACTGAACCCCGGCCCCAAAGTTCTATTACTCACTTCTATATCCCAAGAACAGCTCAGCCAGTTTGCATTGAAGTCTCTGTAGTTACTGAATAATAAATCTTAGTATGTAATAAACCTGAGATTTTAAGAAGTTAATAAATGACACATTGAACCGCCGCTGACGCACACCCTGATTACTCTGCTCTCGCTCCTCCCAGGCAAGCTGTATGCAAATGAGTCGAGTGACGTCCAATCAGATTGTTAATGTGTGGCGCGGTAATTATGTCACGTCCACACTCAATTACACAGTAGGAGATGTAAAGGCTGATTAAAAAATGTTTTCAAAACGCAGATCATTATTATTATTATAATTGTTTTTTTTTCATTAAAAAAATTAATAATTGTAAAAATGTACTTCTCATTTTAAACCTGTGCTCCTTTTTTTTTCCACTGTATCCCAAAATGGATCGAGACACCCCCATAACACATTAAATTGAATTATGAATTTGGTGAATTATTACACCCCTAGTAACCAAAGGACTTCTTTACACAGTAGTGAGACACAGGATTTATATTAGAAAATAACCAGAGATTTTTATATTGTTTATTTTGTTCAGAAGAATGAGTGCATGCTTTATTGAATATCATTATAATTGATGGTAATTAATTAGAATATTCTAAAATACACACAACACCCTCCAACGTGCCACCTGTGTGTGTGTGTACCTGCTATGAAACACACTCTCCACAGGCCGGAGTGCAGTGCCATCTTGACGTCGATGGTTTGGTTCTGCTGCAGTACGATGCCCTCCTCCATCAGCAGCCAGTAGTCCGTTGCCACGGCAACCCCCACCAACAGCAGCCCGCACGCCCCAAACACCGTGGAGAGGAGAGTGAGAGCCCTACTGCTGCACGAGCTCATCTGCGCACACACACACACACACACACACACACACACAGAGACCCGCAGAGGAATGAAAAATCAAAAAGATTCTCCTTAAAAACATCTCCACAGTATCGCTGTATTTTCTGCTGTACAACAATCAAACAAAGACTTCTGCTTAAGGGGGAACTCCACTCGTTGAGATGTAGAAAGTCATTCAGGGTGGACTTATTATTAGGTGACCCTTTTTAGTCCCACAACGGGGACTAAAAAGGGTTTAACCTATCCATGCAGTGAAAAACCACATACACACTAGTGAGCAGCCCTATCCAAGGCGCCCAGGCAGCGGTTGGGGACTTAGGTGCCTTGCTCAAGGGCACTTCAGACACGTACTGTCAGCTTAGGGGATTGAACCAGCGACCTTCCAGTCACAGGGTTGGTTCCCTAACCTCCAGCCCACGACAACCACGGAATCAGTGATCCTTCATTAGTATAATATTGAGATCTGCTTTATTTCTTTGAGACAATCTTAAGAAAGAGATTTTATCCTCTGGGAAAGTCATTTTATTTACTATCCAAAACCACCAGTGAACCTACACGTGTCTTCTGAGATTTATATCATTGCTGTCAAAACAAAAAAAACAAGTATCTCCAAAAGCGCTAACTTCACAGGACCACAAGGCAAAAAGCTTATGTTTAATGTAAGTCAGCGTAATTAGAAGTGATAGTGGAGCTGTGGTCACCAGCCCTCCTGCAGGAGATCAACCTTCCTGCAGAGTGTTTAGTTCCAACCTGCATCTTAGGCTGTGTTCAGACTGCAGGCAAAACAGATTTATTTCTCAAATCAGATCTTTTGAGACGACTGTCATTTTCAAGAGATCAGATCAGATTTGCGTGTGTCCAGACTAGTGCTGGGCGATTTAACCTTAAATCAATATTACGTTTAATGTTTTACCTCGATTACGATAAATGAACGATTATTTTTTTTGTTTTTTGCCCTCATAGTTCACTGACGAGGTTTCTACTGTAAATATGTTCTGCATATCTTAATGTAAATCGTCTCAACAGCCAGATCGGAATTCACACGACTTTTACGTCAATCCAACTCGACATTGGTCATAATTTCGTGCTGCTGAGACCTAATAAACGTTTGGGGTGATATTTCTGTACAGAAATTAGAAGAGACTGATCCAAAACCCTCCGTGTTTGAAGAGATTTTGAAAGAAATGTCCGAACGTGGCCGCAGGAGAACAAGGCAGCAGCATCAAAGAACAGTTAAAAGTCTGAAAGCGAAGTTTAAAGAATCCGAGGACGCGAACCAAAGAAGTGACCATGGCCTTTTTACGACTCGAACACATTCTGGGTGATGAGCCCAGCTGTCAGTCAGTGAAGCTTCATGATGGCTCCTGTGATGCTGGTGAAGATGAAGCTGATCCTCCGGGAGCGACTGGCGTTCGTTGGCAGTTGTGATTGTTTACCTCTGGATGAGCCGTGAAGCAGCGTGAAGCTCTGTTCCTTTACGCATGTGGGTCAGTTTAGGAGCTGATCTGTTCAGACTGATGTCGCATACAGATCTCATTTAAAACATAATGTGAAAAGCCAAACAAAAAAAATCAGATTTGGTGAGAAAATCAGATTTGGGCCACTTTTACCTGCTGTGTGAACGTAGCCTTAGCTTCCATGTGAGTGGACGTGGTGGAGTCACGCGATACACGCGCGGTAGTACGTTTTTAAGGGGACAGTACATGAACACACAGAGTGGAGAAAAAATCGAAATAACCGACATGGGCGAGATTACGTCGGTTAGAGGTTCTGAATGTCAGTTTCGATTACTTTTCGATTAATCGCCCAGCCCTAGTCAAAACATCACCAGCCTATCTGCATGGGTTGCCGTGGTGAGGTGGATTTCAAATGCGGATGCAGGAGAGATGGAGGTGCATCATCTCGCCCTTCAGAATCTTTGGCGCTTTTCTTGAATCTCAGCACTTAATCACACTGGATTTGACATCGTTGTAGTTCGTTGCGTTGCGAGTGACGCAAAAGACAATTTGAAATCTGATTTGAGCGGCCAGAGCGTCCAGACTGAGATGCATCTGTAAAAGTCTGGCTGGAATCACCTTCTAATGTGGTTTGGATCAGATTTGCAAAAATGGGGTTTTTGCTGTCCACACTCAAAAATCAAAAATCTGGACACAGTCTGGATATGAAAAAAATCAGGGTCACACTTTATTTGAATGGTCCCCTACAGATGATCTACTGATACTTAAATCATTACCAAACTTTTTTGATCCTCAGTTGATTATCAACAACGTTATGGTTAGGATTAGGTTTAGGAGTAGTTGTAGATTTTGCCTTGAGGTTAGGGTTAGTATTAGGTTTAGGATTAGGCTTAAAATTAACAGACTCTCTCACACTCAATTTCAGCTACACTGAATAGATATTTAGTGGAAAGTTACTGTAAGATTTACTGAGCATCCACAAACCACCTACATGGGACAATCCAAATAAAGTGTTACCAAAATCGGATTTGGGCTGGTAGTCTAAAGATAGCCGAACATGCTAAGATGCAGCTGATCCAGCCAATCAAGAAGAAGTTAATTAGCTGGAGCAGATGCGTCTGAGTGTGGCTTGAACTAAACGCTGCAGGATGGCAGATCTCCAGGTCAAGGACTGTTGAGCACTGCTCTAGAGCATCTCTGCTGGTCCATTCATCATGAAATCTTGACTTGATCAAATGTTCCAGAATAATGAAAATAAAAAAGAAATTGAGATACATGTCTTTTTAGATAGTGATGGTATGTAATGTTGATTTATTTCTATTTTTTCTTACAGTAGCCTGCATGTAACTCCCCACCATAAGTGGGTTTAAAAAAATAGGTTGTTTACACCAAAACTTTCTCAAAACTATCGTAAAACAGTGAGTGCGTTTACATGCACTTAATAATCCGATACCTGCAGAAAATCAGATTTTGTCAGTAATCCGAACAACGCGTTTACACGCACTTGAGTAATCAGATAATGGGGAAACATCCTGGGGGATTTCTGACTCGCAACCGGCCATTAAACTCACAGAAAAACGTGACGTAAACATAATGTAAAACTCAAACTTTGTTTTGCGGTAATTTGTTTTGAGTAATCAGATAACTGCAGAAATCCGATTATGATCAGATTATTGAGTGCATGTAATCGTACTCAGTGTCTCAGAGATCAGGCAGTGTAATCATAACCGTTTCATGCAATAACTCTTTGAGGGAGCTTTTAGAGGTGGAGGTCTGGTTCCTATCACCACCACTGTGAATACTTCTGACTCGGTCAGTTTATCTAGAACAGAGCGTTTCACACCAAACCACTCTGAATGACTCTGTTTATATCAAAACGACATAATTATGCACAAGTTTTCCAAATTCTGTGGAATTCCCCTTCAACCCCTAAAATCTGTGGTCAGTTATTAGCCCCTTAAAATCTCAGGCTTATTACATACTAAGGCTTGTTATTCAGTAACTACAGGCACTTCAATGCAAACTGGTTGAGCTATTCTTAGCTTATAGAAGTGTGTAATAAAACTTTGGGCCTGCTGGTGGACCCTGGCCATTTAAGGGGTATCTCCTGCTGCTCAGCTGTTTCTGAGGACCCCAGTAATCTCACGTCTCTCCTCCTGAGCTGTAGTACACATGTCAATAAAGTCACACAGTGTGCTCAGATTGGCCCAGATATAAACATCTGAACTGAACGAGAGACAAGAACTCAACAGTTTCTCATCCAACACAACAGAACGTCTCAGTTTCAGTGCTGTGAATAACTGTTATCACTTTTATCTGGACCAGCGGTATCTCACGTCTTTTCATCTAATGCTGTATCTCCTCAGGAATTTTAGGAGGAAGTTTTCTGAGCCAACAAGGATCCAAATTTGAGCAGTGAAATTCTCCTCTGGCCACAATTTCTTTACTCAGGTCTACAATTTAATATGCATGATAAAAGACCACTTTTCAAATGCATTCGTTGTCGTGTGTCAGCAATACTCGCAAAGCAGCAGAGAGAACTTCACGGATAAACACACACACACACACACACACACAGACACACACACACAAGCTTAGACGCTGATATTAAAAAGAAGAAAAACGTACAGCATTAGCGACTCTGTTCAAGCTTGAAATCCACTCTGGCACGGCGACAGAGTATAAATGAGATTCAAGCGCTGGAGCTTGAAACTCCAGTTAAAAGGAAATACTTTTGCTTCTTTATTCTGTATTTTTCACTGTTCGCACTTTTGTCTTGATGATTTGAGTGAAGTTCAAACTGTACTGATAATTAGAGATCCGATTCCAGTTTTTCTCTTCTGATACCAAATCCGATATCTGGGGTGTGTTTACTCCCGCAGGTTCACCCAACACCACATGTGTAATATAAATGTGTGGGGGGTGAACAGAGTGAAGACACTGAAAATGGGTTATTTTATATGTTCTTCACAGAAAATGACCAAAGGCCAAGAATCTGAGGTTGAAATAATAATAAATTGCATCATTTTTTCTTTTGGTAAACACTGAAAATGGGTCCCACAGACCTGAACACCACACAAGGGTTAAATACGTGAATAAAGCTAATTATTCAAACAACTGCATTATAGAGAAGAAATGCTTTCGAAAACTTGACATAAAGAGTGCTTGTGGAAATCTACACATACAATAACCCATACAATAAGTTAAGATTACATAATTATTAGCGTATTTTATTTAAAAAAAAACTTAAAAAACGATAAAATACTTACGACAAACATGTCTTCTAATGTCTTAGAGCTGCGTACACCAAGCTGCAGTGGCTGCATTTGTAGAGGACTTCATTAGACTTTATCGTGTGCTCTGCCTCTGACACGCCCATCAAACGAGAGAACATGCAACTCAACACACACCGTTTCACACCATTTCAACAAAACATGGCGTTCAACCTGGAAACCGTAGTAAAACGGCGCACGTTTTGAGATTGAACGTGACCCTGAACTGGGTATCGGCCGATGCAGAGTATCGATCCGATATCAAGTA